ATTGGTACCAAGCGGTTCGGGGGGGAACAGTCAGGTGATCGTGAGGTCCAACGCACCATGTTGGAGCTTTTGAGCCAGCTCGATGGTTTTTCCTCGGACGAAAAGATCAAGGTATCTACCGCCATAAGCATCTGATGAGTTTCAATTCAAGGTTATTGCTGCGACGAATAGACCTGATGTGCTTGATCCAGCACTACTGCGCTCTGGCCGTCTTGATCGTAAGTTTGAGTATTAACGCAAACTACAGGCAGCGCCAATTTTGTTGACAGGTAAAATTGAGCTGCCACATCCTACTGAGATGGCGCGCGCACGGATCATGCAGATTCATTCACGCAAGATGAACGTAGACAAGGATGACTCAAACTTCGAGGAACTTGCACGCTGCTGTGATGATTTCAACGGTGCTCAATGTAAGGCGATCTGTGTAGAGGCAAGGATGACCAGTGCCTTCATTGATGACATATTTTTCGCACGGGCAGTCTGGATGCGTAGGCCGGCATGCTGGCACTCAGACGTGAAGCTACCACAGTCAAACACGAAGACTTCATGGAAGGCATCGCTCTCGTCGCAGCTAAAAAAAAAGGGTCCCTCGACTACTATGCCTGATGAGTATTTTGAGAATACGTCGAGCCCCATGCATATACCCGGCTCATCCTTGATATATATTGGCGCTCGAGATATTCTCCCGATCTTCAAAATTGGACCTCTTCAGAGGATAGAGTGACGGAGGAAACTCAATGCAGATCAAGGATCTCTCTTCTAGAAAATGCAATGCCATTCACAGCTAAGTCGCCCAGTCTGTTATCGGTTCAGGGTTTCCCTTGGGCTCGGCAGTTGCACTCGTCCTCAAATGTGCGGATAGGTCCAGGGGCCTTGTATCTTCACTCAAACGTCGTGCATTCTGAGGATCCGTGTCGCGCATCCTGGAGATATTTTTCCAATTTAGACCCGCATGTCTGTGGCCTTCGGCGGCAAACTCTAACGCGGCATACGCCTGTTACTTGTCATGCACACCGCACGCCAAGGAGGTTGCTCCATGGACCTTCGCCGCCTGGGCTTGACACGAGGCCGGAGCATCCCTATCCAGCTGAAGAGGTCCGATCTCCGGGCTAAGGCCCCCCGGGTTTTCCCCGACCCCCCACTGGACCCCCTCGCGGCATTTGCAGCTTATCTCCGGTGGTCCAGGGGAGCAGCGGCCGAAGGATATCTTATTATCGCATGTCATTCTACTCTCGCCCACCAGGATGGTGATCTTAGGAGGGGCTGTGTGCGACTTTCCTGTCTTGTACTAGCATTAGCCTATTTATCGCATAGAGCCCATTCCTCGCCTTCAAAATCGATGTCCTCAACTGCGATGAAGTATGGCCGTCAAGAACGGGTTCGTTGCACGTCTTTCCATCAAAAAATCAGGTATGATTTTGATGATTCTTAACGTGTTAATATAAGTTTAAATTCTTATGCAATCGCGAGCCAACAAAAAATATAATTGCAGCTTTGGAAATCGAACAGAGCATGACTAATGAGGAATTAACAATAGCAGTATATGTTTGGAGATGCCACATCATTCAACCAGCCGCTAAATTAGGGGGAATATGGGACTTATGTTTCGTGGTGCGAGATCATTCAACCAGCCGCTAAATTGGAATGTTTGATCAACCTAAAATCGTGAGGGGTTTGGGGTATTTGGGGTCCGCGGAATGGTTTTAAAAGGCTTCTGGGAAGCTTCTAGAGGGCTTCTGGCACGTGGTTTGGGGCGGCGTTGCAATTTGCCCTTAAGGGGTCTTGAAGGGCAGTTTACTAGGGCGAGAAAGTGGGGGGATTTAAAATTGCAGAATCGTAAGGGGTTTGGGGTATTTCGGGTCCGCGGAAGGGTTCTGGAGGGCTTCTGGAGGGCTTCTGGCACGTGGTTTTGGGCGGGTCGCGCGCCCTAAGGCGTGGGCGGCGCGTCAGAGGTCCCCGGCGAGGCGTGAGCGGCGGTGTTGAGGTCCCTTTTGAAGGGCAAGCGGCGGTGTTGAGGTCCCTGTTGAAGTGCAAGGTTTGAGGTTGAAGCCCAAGTTGAAGCAGCGTTTAACATATCCCGCCGGTGGGATATGTTACGGCCTCCATAAGGCCCCACCCCGCGCCCCCTCGCACGGGTCGTACCCGCGTCGCGCGTGCGGCGGCTGTCGGTCACTCGTCGGTTCTTACCACGCTCGGTTCTTACCTCGCACGGCCCCGCGGGCGCAGCCACAATTCGGGCCATATCGTGTGTACTGCGCATGCCTGGACGCGCGATGGACATCATGGATGGTCCCGAGCCGTCTGCGAGCATCGTGCGCTCGATGTCGGGCTCGAAGTGCTGTCCTCCGTGTCGTAGGCGCTCAAACGAGTCGATTCGGGGCAGCCTCGCGGGCGCCCAAAAACACTGAATTTGTGTCTGGCGCCTGGTCCGCGCCCGGCCCGGGGTCCGGACGCGAGCCCTGAAGCAGCCCGAGCGTCGCGGCGCGCGACATCGCGACGGTGCGCCGCCGCAAAGACGGAGAGGACTATCAAAGCTTCGGAGAGGACTATCGTTCTCCGAGCTGCCGCATGCGCTATCTCAGCGCCATCGCCGAGTTACGACATGTCCAAAGCACCGAAATTATCCGCGCGATGATGTCGCAGCCGGAGACGTGTGTGGCCGGGAGAGCGCGGCGGAGGTGTTTCAATGATAGTCCTGACGGATAGTAGGCTCTTGTGGAAGTCCGAGCTGCCGCGGCCCCAATCCCCACATGGTGGCGAAACGGCCAATATTAGCTGGGTAAACGTCGATGACTCGCTTATTTCCTTAACTACGCAACATGGCAGCATTCGAGGCCTCTTGCGCCGGCTGTCTGCGGCAACTTCACGACTGGGGTCACATACCGACATTTGCCTGCCAAGAATGCTCCGTGAAATTGTAAGCTAGTGTCTATCCGTCTTCAACTTCAGTGTCTTCTTACGAGGTGTTTGAGCTGCTTTCTGTCCCGCACGATGGTCCCGGGGCATGCATCTCAGCACGATTACAAGATCCGTTCTGCACAGCTGCCTCTAGTGGAACAGGCTTGGGTGGCTGCCGATGATCTCAAACTTTTCGACGCCGTGCGTGTGGCACTGCTTGTTGTAGGCTGCAATCTCGCTCAACATAGGTGAGAACACTTGGGCTTGGCAATTGGACAACAATTGCCGAGAAAATGGGTCTGAACCATAGCCTAGATGGGTGTCGGCGACACTACATTGAGTGTTACTGCAGCCGTAATGGCAGTTTTGGGATCTACATCCCAGCGAAGGTACTAAGCCTGGACAATAAACAAGCTGAGGATGGTGGCACTAGGCCAAATAAGGCCCCCCTTGCCGGCATTACCGAACAGTCATCTTCTGGAGATACTAAAATTGAATTTAGGGGCTATCTCCCTCTGCGTGGTGACTTTGATGTGGAGTATGACAATGATGCAGAGGGTTTAGTTGCTGAGATGGAGGTTGGGTCTCACGATAATGATGCAGAAATTCCCATCAAGAAGTATATTCTAAAGCTGTACAATGACAGACTTCTGGAGCGCAATCGTAGGAAATTATTCGCCATCAACAGTGGGCTGCTGGAGACATTGGCTCAACCTAATCACAATAAGACTACGAAACGACCGCGGGAGAAGTCTAAAGTTGCTTCGCACATGCGGGCGTTTACTCGTTTTAGAATTGCCCAAGGATGTGACATGCTGAAGGGGCTCGCTGAATCTCAACGTCTCCGTCAATGCCTCGCGCGCTTTGATTGAGTTTAGCGCTATTGCGATCACAGTGCTGAGTTACAACATGTGGCGTGTGAGATAGGAAGCCGGATTTTCGTTGCAGTCGGAGTTTTGAGTTTATGGCCAAGAGCGCGAGACGGCTGCCAGGCCTTTCAGATGCAACTGCAACTTACGAAATCAGTAGCCCCTTGTTCCGCATTTGATGGGGCTTGGTTTTTTATGTCAAATATGCACAACAGAGATGCTCGAGGCAAAAATAGCCCCCTAAGTGGGAATTTGCTGGGAATTTGCCTGTGGAGTGGGAGTGCCATGATTCGTTTTTGAAATCAGATCAATTCCGGGCCGCCAATACGGCGAGAGAGCGAAATAAGAGGAAAGTACCCCTGCGGTGCTCGGGAGCTTGAAGGTGAAGTAGAAGGGGGCGTAGACAGCAGGGTGCTGCAGTGGCTGTGACTAGTTGGGGTGCGAACGCGGGAAACTCGACGCGTTCTAGTTTGGACCCCGCCCGCCCCCCGGGCGCCTGAGTAAAGCCCCCAGCCGCCGACCCAAAATTGTCGGGGTCGTTTTGGGTTCCTTGGGGTCCCGTCCGGCGCAGGGGGGGGGGGTTCTGGGCGAGGTTCTGCCGCCGGCGGCGGCCGCGGGGCCGCGGGGCTTACTGGAACGAACTAGAACGGTTCTAGTTCCAGTATAGGGCTCCGGGTGATGGGAGTTTCTAGCCACGATGCGAGACACAGTTACCGCGCCCGGCCTATCTGGAGAGGCCTCGAGGTGCGGGGGGGTTGTCGACACAACAAGGGGGGGCGAAGGGGGCACAGTGGGTGCGCGACGGGCGGCCGGCGGGGCCGGCGGACCCAGCGGGATTCCATTTTAGGGCCCGGAGTCCGAGTCGTCGTCCGAGCTGGAGATTTCAAGCCAGTCGCGCGCGGCCCCAGTAGTGCTGGACGGTCGCTCTTTGACGGGGTTGCCATCTGCGTCCATGTATTTCATAGTGTAGCGGGAATTGTCCCTTCAAGCTAGCCACGCAGCCGGGAAAACAGCGCACTCTGAGTGTGCAGGTCGGGTTCGAGACCAGGTTCGCGTGCTCGCCCGACTCTCACCCAGGCCCCGGTCGTGGCCCGCCGCCACGCCCGACTCGCTGCGGGGGAGCAGAGAGGTTCCCCAAACGCTCCCCCAGCCGGGACGTTTCACCTGACTTGCAGTCAGGCATTTTCGCGCTACAGAGAGCGTTTAGCGCTTAGGAGATGGTAACATTTCCCAACCACCGAGGAGGCGGTTCGCTGCTACGGCGACTACGGGGAGCTCTACGACACCATCGCTGCTGCAGCACTGATCCACTTCAAGGACACACTGGCGAGAGAACGAATAATTGAGGTGTAGAACGATGGTCGGATATCCGATGCTGCGTTTGGCATGTTCCGGGCCACGGAAGGAGAAAGTGAGAGCACTTCGCCGTAGGAAGGCGGGGTCGGCGGTCCCAAAAAATCACTCCATGTCGTGCAAGGCGAAGCAGAGGCCGAAGACGCTCGTACGGGCGCTCCCGCGGCGCTGAGGGGACGGGGATCAGGGATCTCAGTTTCTGCGTGTTTCCCCAGCGTATGGACTGAAGTTTCGGGACATCCGACCCCGAGTTCCTACTGCGAAGTACTCTCATAATCTCCCCTCGAGACTCGCAACATACCAAACTCAGAGTCAAAAATCGTTCGAACATCGTTTAAGCCGCCTGCGCTAATTAACTTCAACGACCGGAACTAATAATCATCGCATCATTTGTGGCTGAGGAAGGTTAAAATGCAACAATCTTGGCGCAAGCCCGAGCCGAGATATAAGCTGAGGAATGTTAAAAATCGATGAAATGGCCATACAAACCACAACTTTGGAGGTCTCGTTCTCGGCCCCATGGCCACCGGTTCCTTTGGTTCTTGTTGCATCTGAAAGAGCCCAAAGTCGTCTTGCGCGCTGGGCCATATATCCGAATCTTGAACCGCCACGAAAAGTTGCATTTTAACGTTCCTTTGCCACATTTAGTCAATGGGTCGTTCTCGGCAAGTGAAGGATCGCCGGTTGCTCTTACACAAACCAGAGGCCCTCCGGGTGGTGATAGAAAAGAACAAAGGTGTGGGAAACTAGAACCCATACTAGAATCCATACTAGTATATCACTCACAGGCGCACGAACCCTTTTCCTGTTGTTGTACGAGGCCCTGTTGCCATGGAAGATGATGCAACAGGCAATCCGAACAACACGTATTCTAAGAGGGAGGGGCGGGAAGAGGGAGCACTCCCAAGCCGGAGTCCGCTGGATACTGGCGCAGACTAGGTGGGCAAGGTAGAGCAGGATACTGCCGGTGGGCTGGTTGTATTTGAGTGTATCTTAGGTGGAGTCAAGGACAAATACTGCAGATACATGTCGTACGAAACCAAGTGACAGAACTTATGGCATCAAAAATGGCACTGTCAGCAAAGATAGACGCGGCGAAAAGTCAAGCCGAAGCTCTGAGACATGCGATTCAAGTTGAGAAGGTACGAATCGACAATAGCAAGGACTTCGCAACATCTAAGGATCTGAGAGGAATCATAAACCAGCCGCGGGTTCGCCGAATTTTGAAAGGTCATTTCGGGAAAGTTTATGCCATGCACTGGTCTGGGAACGGGTTTGTGTCTCATCACTTATTTTGAATCAGCTTTTGATTAGGCGGGACATAGTAAGCGCATCTCAAGATGGAAAATTAATTATTTGGAATAGCCACAATATGATGAAAGCCCACTCGATACCTCTCCATTCCTCTTGGGTGATGACATGCGCTTTTGAGCAGACGAGGAACGAGATGGTGGCGTGTGGTGGCCTGGATAATCTTTGTTCAATATACAAGATAAATCAGCCTCAAGTCACACGTGCTACATCTGAATTGGCAGGCCATGACGGCTATCTTTCGTGCTGTCGATTTGTGGATGACTCAAAGATATTGACAACTTCGGGCGACTCCATGTGCATTCTTTGGGATATAGAGCGGAATGAAAACGTAGTGCAATTCACAGATCATACAGGCGATGTGATGAGCGTTGCACTGGATCCACACTCGCCCAAACTCTTTGTGACTGGTTCCTGTGATTCTACTGCAAAGCTCTGGGATTCCCGTGTGCCCAGTCATCCAATGATGACTTTTACAGGCCATGATTCCGACATAAACTCCGTCACATTTTTCCCGGATGGAAATGCATTTGGGACAGGCTCAGACGATTCAACATGTCAATTCTTTGATATGCGCTGCTTGATGTGTGTAAACAAATTTAAATCAGAGAAGATTCTATGCGGTATTACTTCGGTTGACTTCTCACGGTCTGGTCGCATTCTTTTTGCAGGTTATGATGACTTCAATGCTTACTGTTGGGATGTGATACGGGATGGAATGTGAGTTCCCCCCCCCCCGCTTCCCACCACAACCACGAGCGTGTAGGAACTTTCAACAGCAATGGACTCTCTCTGGTCATGATAATCGTGTCTCCTGCCTGGGCGTGTGCCCCACGGGTGAGGCGCTTTGTACTGGATCTTGGGACACTTTGCTTAAGGTCTGGTGCTAGTTGTAGCAACTCTTCGGTTCCAAAACGGGCCCATGTCCAGAATGAATTGCAAAGATTGGTTCTGGAGACGCAAAGACTGCATGAAGCATTTCGCACCTGGTGGTGGACTTCAAATTGACAGGCGCACGCTTGCACCTGGGATAGCGCTGCTCTGTTGTGGCGTCTACACGTCTGCGAGGTAGGAATGTAGCTAACTCGCCCTAACTTGTTAGTCGAGTTTTTAACTTGGCGCCAAGGCCGACGGGGCCGGAACCGAGATCGAGAACAAGAAAGACGCAGGACGCGGCTCGAGAGAGCCGGGACCCTCGAAACGAAACAGACGCACCATTTTGGTCGAGCGTGACGTCAGACACGGCTCGAGAGGGCCAGGACCCTCGAAGCGAACTAGACGCACCATTTTAACCAACCCTCCCACCCCACTCTAACCCAAAGCTTGCGGTCTTGTAACATCCGTCGGGCGGGACTGGAGACCTAACCAAACCCACCACCCTACTCTAACCCGAAGCTGGCGGTCTTGTAACATCCGTCGGGCTGGAGCTCCGCCGTGCGCGACCCCGCCGGCCCACCAAAATGGTGGTGTCTGTTTTTGTTTTTGTGGTGGGCCCACCAGAATGGTGGTGTCTATTTTGTTTTTGTGGAGATAGCCACGCTGAACGGCCGTCTACTTCGCTCTACTTCGCTCTACTTCGCTCTAACTTGTTAGTCGGCGATGTTCATTTTGTGTGTTTATTTTGTTTGTCTTTTTTGTTTTGCGCCAGTGCCCGTGCGGTGCGCCCTCCAGGCGACGCCTCGTGGCCGCCCGCCCGTCTAATTCGCTCTAACTTGTTAGTCACCGGCACTGTGCCAAATTGGACGCCG